GGCCACGCCATTTGAGGGGAAAACTCTTTGTTTTCCCCTCAAATGGTGTGGCCCTGCCCAGCGTGTGACGTCACTTCCGGTGACGCTCCGGCGGCGCGCGCGCGCGCGCAAGGACGACTCCCGGACGGGAAGGAGCCTCCCCCGCTGGTGAGTCAAATACATTTCGCAACCCTATATGCTAATGAGTTCCTGCTGGGCTTTTTCTACAAAAAAAAGCCCTGCCAGTAATAACACTAGGCCCTGCAAAATTTAGCTCATATTTAAAACACATGTCCCCCTTCTCCAGTTCTGTTTTACAGCCCTGTCTCTGTGGCCTGGAGTTCCACCCTGCCCAACTCAATCCAAGCTCTGAAAGGCTCCTGCATGGTCATCCCGTGCTCTTTCACCTTCCCGGGTCCCCGCGCTTCCTGGGGAGACAAATTCAGCGTGGCTTGGTACCAATACCGGGCAAGAGGTTACCCTGAAATCTACAACAGCAAGAACCCCCGTAGCGTCCTTCCTGAGTATCAAGGGCGGACGGAGGTGGTGGGAGACCTCGAGATGGGCAACTGCACCCTCCTCATCCGAGACGTGCGCCACGGGGATGTCTACTATGTGTGGATCAATCCAGACTCTGTCAGCCACCGGTTCTATGACGTCACGGTCCGGGTGGAAGTCACAGGTGAGCCGTACCCTTCTAGCGTCTGCTTCTGGACCTTCCCGAAAGTCGCCAGTGGCTTTAACGGAACGAGGCCAAGGAGATCCTGTATGAACGGCCGGCCTCTTAAGTGCATGCAAAACACATGCTGTGTCAGTGAGACCCCCCTGCACGACGGGCCGAAACCCAACAGGATGGCTTTCCTCTTCGTGCGGCTTCTGCCTAGCGGCTCCTCGCTACTTACCTCCCCTTCTCTCGTTTTCAGATGTTCCCAGCCAGCTCGAGATGAGCGACCCGGGGTTGTTGACCGAAGGCGATCACACCTCGCTGACATGCTCGGCTCTGCACACCTGTCCCTTGGCCCCGCCCAGCCTCACCTGGAACCTTGAGGGAGGGAAAGCTGTGACAGTCCAAGAACGTCTGGCTGGGGGAGTCTGGCGGACAGAGTTGCAGCTCAACTACGTCCCCTCCCACAGAGACAACGGCAAATATCTCCAGTGCACGGCCACCTTCCCCACCCAACAACAGTCTCGCAGTGGTATCACCTTGCAGGTTAAATGTGAGTGCTTGGTTGGGGGAAGGGAGGGGGGAGAGCGCAGGGGACAATCAACTTTTGAACGGTCAGCTATGCTGCCATTGGGGTTGGGGAGTTCATTCTGTGTCTTGGTAATCGCTGTTGCATTCCTGTCTCTGCTGTTCTGCCTGTGCCGCAACGCTGATCTCTACAGATGTGCAGGAGGATGTTATGTTGGAGGTTGTATTGTCTGGAAGTCTCCTATGCACCGTGAGAGACTGCTGCTTCCCAGCTGTCGCCACCTAACCGTTTCCTAGCTGGTCTCGCGTGTGGGAGTTTAGCTAATTGGCCCATGCCATGGGGGGGGGGGGCGGTGTGCATACGAATGCCCTATATCCTATTATGCTCAATGGGTTGCCGCCATTCTCAACAGTGCCTGTGTTACTGCATCTATAGCTTTGCAATAAATGTATAACCATTCCTGAATGCGTGTACTTCGTTGTAAGCTGTGGGTTCTGACATGAACCTGCCTCTGCAAAACCCATTCTTTCCCAGCCACCGCGAGAACTCAGCGCTTGCTGTTATTTTAAACAATGAGCCGGGGCTCCATTTGGTCAAGTGCATGAAGTATCCATGAAGAAGAAGCCCTGCCCTAGCAGATGTGATTTTGGTTATGGACTTATCTCTCTGGGAATACTGCTGGCCCTGTGTTTGGGCTGATGTTCGGGGGTTACTATAGCACCTACTAAGGTGCTGTAGTAACTTCCTGTTTTACATCCTGCAGGAATTTACTGGTTCAGAGGTGTTCTGATTCATTTCAGATGCCCACATTTCCTTTCCTACCTCCCTGGACTCCAGTGGTTTGACTAAGAGAAGTACCGGCATGGCGTGGGAGGGTAATTCCTGAAGCCGCTCAAGAACAGCACACAAAGTCTTAGTAATATTACTGTGCCCATTATGCAGAGCAGTTTGTGTAGAGTTACCACTTTCCCCCCTGCTGTCGGAGGTGAAAATTCAGCAAGAGTCACTTCCGTATCATAACAGGCTGTACCACATGACTTTTTGCCTGTCATGTAGCGGCTGCAAATGCAGGTTTACCATCAACGAATGAGGGGCCAGTCCTATATCTGTTCTTCGGCTTAACAGTGTGGGAGGCTCTTGTCTCTTCTCATTATAATGAAGATTAATGATTGCATGGCATTGTGGGTAGTATAGCCAGATCCTAAGATCGTCTGTCAGCCAGACGTTCTAGTTGTTTACCATTATGTACCACTAGGTATGGAGCTGTGGTGGCTCAAGCGGTTAAGACGCTGAACTGCAGGCTGTGGAAGGTTGGTAGTTCAGCAGTTCGAGACCCAGGTGCTGCATGACGGAGTGAGCTCCCATCTCTAGTTCCAGCTCCTGCCAACCTAGCAGTTCGAAAGCAAGAAATTGCAAGTAGATAAATAGGTACCACTTCGGTGAGAAGGGAACAGCGTTCCGTGCGCCTTGGTGTTTAGTTATGCCGGCCACATGACCACGGAAACGTCTTCGGACAGCGCTGGCTCTTCGGCTTTGAAACGGAGATGAGCACCGCAACCCTAGAGTCGGATTTGACTGGCTTTCGAGTAAGAGAAACTTTACCTTACCACTAGGTGGCGAGCTAGACTCGTTTTTAAAGCAAGCGATGTTTCAGAGGTGGTTCGCCATTGCCCGCCTCTGCGTCATGGCCCTGGTATTCCTTGGAGGTCGCCCTTCCAAGTACTAGCCAAGGCTGGCCTTGCTTAGCTTCTGAGATCTGATGAGAGTGGGCTAGCCTGGCCTATCCAGGTCAGGGACGTCCCTGCAGCATGAGGTCCATATAGTCCAGCGCATTGTTTCCCAGTGTACCAGTCAGCCTGCTGACTCTATGAAGGAGAGTATGAAGACAAAAGCCCTAAGTTGTAAACTGCCCCTTTATCCCTTGATACTCAGATATACGGGCTCGGATCCAGATATATTTGCCTAGAGTAGACCCTATGGCAGTGATGGTGAACCTTTTAGAGACCGAGTGTCCAAACTGCAACCCAAAATCCACTTATTTATCGCCAAGTGCCAACACGGCAATTTAACCTGAATACTGAGGGTTTACTTTAGAAAAAACAACTCATCCATTAACTTAAGATGATCCAAACAAAGTAAAGAAAGCAATCCCAAATGCTTTCATTTACTTAAAATTATTTGGCAGAGAATTCCACACTTTAATGACGGTCTGGGCCTGGCTGGGGCGATGGCACGCGTGCCCACAGAGAGGGCTCTGAGTGCCGCCTCTGGCACCCGTGCCATAGGTTCGCCACCACTGCCCTATGGCATCATTCCCTTTTTGCTTCTCCCCAGCAACTTATGGAGGTTTTTCTCCATTGCCAAGCTCGCATCCTTGGCTGCTAACACTTCCGGGTGGGCAACTTTAATGTTTTCAAAGGAACCCTTGTATATGCAGAAGTGCCAGTGAGCGCCGCAACAGAGAAAAACCTCTGCAGCAGCTGATGAGAAGCAGTAGGGGAATGATGTCATAGGATCCAACCCACTGTGTCTGGACTTGGAGCTGTTGGCATAAGGCTGATACAATCGAGCCATTCCTTTATTCTTAAACCACCTGGAGGCTTGTGAAAGCTCACTGACTTCTAGTGCCGAAGCTTTATAAACTTGAGACTCCTGGTGCTGAAGGTTTACAGTCTTGAGACTCCTGGTGCTAAAGCTTTACAATCTTGCAGCTCCTGGTGCTGAAGCTTCACAATCTTGCTATTCCCAGTGCTGAAGCTCTATGACAGGGGATAGAGAATGTTCAAGGTTTTGCAGTACCTGTGCAAATTTATTGTTTATTGTTTGAATGATTTGAATGTGATTTTATTGTAATGAGTCTTCGACTTGGTTTTTTGGTGATCCGCCCTGAGCTCGCTTTGGGAATGGTAGAATAAAAATATCAAAAAAAGTACTCACCAATTAAAAGAACTGTATAGGATAGCCCACCCACACCTGTCCAGGAATGGGAGGGGACCCTGTACCTTTTGCAGTACATTAAACAACAAACCACGAGATGGTCTAAACTCTCTCTGGTTTCAGAACAATATGCCACCAGAACCTCTACAATAATCCCCCTCCCAACCTGAGATTAGAGGTTCAAAATCTCAGTTGGCATCTAGGGTTTAACACATTAGCACCTCATTCCCAGAGATGCACAATATTTGAACCTCCAATAGTAGCGTATGTGGTCAGCGTTTAGGCTACAGGATTTTAGCCTTGGAATTCAGGTACAACATCAAAGACAATTTTAACAATCAGGAATCGATATTTAATACAGACCTTAGCACAGACTACCAGAGGTTACAAAAATAACAAGCCTAAGGCGATTTGCCTTAACTAAACAGTAATGATTCATAGTTACCAAAATTCAGGAATACATCAGTCCAAGAGAGTCCAAGTCATACAGTCCAATTAGACACCAAGGGATTTTGAAGAGGAATCCCATTTTTGCACACCATATGCTACAGCTCACAAGGCAGTCCTTTGTCTCTAGGACAGCATTTCAGGGTGCAATAAACAAGCACAGAGCAGGAACAGAACAGAGAGAGGCTCTCTCATAGGGAATGACCAGTTATAGGCCAATTCCAGTCACAAATTAGCCCTGGCCAGGAGCCAATTGCGAGTGGGAATGGGAGTGCCCAAGATTTGGTTGTTATGGCTACATGTGGGGATAGGCTATAAGTTTGGGAACTCCCTCTGCAGTCAGGTGACCCCAAACTCCAGCATCTCCATCAGCTACGTGACTTTTTGCATGTGGGCCTAGTGGGGTGCCTCACAGTCTAGCTTCTAGCATGGAAGTGTGAAGAATGTGGGTTTATGGCATGGCTATTGAGCCATGTGTCCCACCATTTGGCTGGTAACAGGAAATAAGGCGCAGCCTGTTACCAAAAGACATCACAGGAGAAGGCATGAGGCTTTTAGAAATCAATATTTCTATACAAGAACAAATGGGGAAGGAGGGGAAGTATGATAGGGGAGGCACAGGGCTCCTCAGACTGGGTCTGTGCAAGAAAAACCCATGTGGCGGGCCCCAACCAGATTGTCTCTTCCAGATTCACCAAAGGATGCAGTCGTCTCTGTGGTGGGGAACTCGACCCTGAAGGAAGGAGACAGTGTCACCCTGCGATGCAGCAGCCACAGTAACCCCCCTGCCCTCAGTTACCGCTGGTTTTTTGGGCCACGCAAGGCACCACTGCGGGGAGTGGGCACTGGGCCAGAGGCGAAGCTGACAGATATCAAGAGGGACTCTGGGCCATATTACTGCGTCGCGGAGAATGACGTAGGGATGGGAGACGACTCACCCCCTGTCTACCTCCATGTGCAGTGTAAGATGGTGACCACATTTCCTTCTTTCCTTTACTACTAGATTTAGGACAAGATTTAAACATTCTCATTGGGGGGGGGTCAACTTTTTAAACGTAGTTTTTTAGTAGCTTATATTAGCCAGTTTGGTGTAGCGGTTAGGAGAGCAGACTCTAATCTGGGAGAACCGGGTTTGATTCCCCACTTCTCCACATGCAGCTGCTGGTGTGACCTTGGGTCAGTCACAAGTTCTCTCAGAGGTGTTCTCTCAGGAGCAGTTCTCGAGAGAGCTCTCTACCTCACAGGGTGTCTGTTGTGGGGAGGGGAATGGAAACGAGATTGTAAGCCACTCTGCAACTCCTTTGGGTAGGGAAGGGTGGGGAATAAATCCAATCTCTTCTTCTTCTTTTACTTCACAGGGTGTCTGTTGTGGGGAGGGGAATGGAAACGAGATTGTAAGCCACTCTGCAACTCCTTTGGGTAGGGAAGGGTGGGGAATAAATCCAATCTCTTCTTCTTCTTTTACTTCACAGGGTGTCTGTTGTGGGGAGGGGAATGGAAACGAGATTGTAAGCCACTCTGCAACTCCTTTGGGTAGTGAAGGGTGGGGTATAAATCCAATCTCTTCTTCTTCTGTCCTCTTCTTCTCTTCAGATGAGGAAGGGAAAGTTGCCCCAAGCACCTTGGAGGGATGGCATGGTAAAAACGTGGCAGACTCTTGGAAGTCATGCATATTTGAGTTCATGTGCTTAGGATCATGCATGATCCAGGGTCTTTGGGAGCTAAGCTTCTCTGACCCTTTTGGGATGAGTTTTTTTTAAAAAAATCAGGGGTCCCCAACCTTTTTAAGGCTATGGATACTTTGGGAATTCTGTCATAATATGGTGGGCACAGCCACAAAATGGTTGCCCCTGGAGGTGGAGCCAGCCACAAAATGGCTGCCACAGCTTACCTTCAGTCACACAGTGAAAATCCTTGTGCTGTGGTAGCAGCTGCTGCCAGAGCAATGTCTTTAAATGTCTGCACAGCCAATCAAATCCCCAGTAGCCAATCAGAATCCTTGATGGGCAGAAGCCCCATCTGGCCACACCCACCCACTTCCCAAGAATACTTGATAGGTACCAGGGAAGGTGTCAGTGGTCACGATGGTGAGTTAGGGCAGGGGAGTGTCTTTGGACTGGGATCATGGCCAATGTTCCCTCTAAGCTGTGGAGTCGTGTGAGCAAAAATTCTACTTTGTGAGATGCTGGCATTAAAGTTGCGAGTGTGTGATTAGGCTACTGCATAAATTAGTTTGCTCTGGAACCATCCTTCCTGAGCTAAGACAAAAATCTGTGAGCTAGAGGTTAAAAAACTGTGAGCTAGCTCACACTCACTCAGCTTAGAGGGAACACTGATCATGGCAGCACATGTCCTCTTTGCAGACAAACCAGTCATCCTGCCAGAAGGGAACTGCACCATGTCCCGGACCGGAGAGACAGTCACGTGCTACTGCTTGGCGGAAGGAAACCCAGTACCAGGCATCGAGTGGCACCTGCCAAACCAAACCATTCCCGAGGACTTCAACAGCTCGGAACTGCAGGCAGCGTCGGCTTCCATGGGGCACACTGTGGTCGGGGTGCTACGGGGCCCTGCATCCAGCCTGGCCAATGTGTCCTGCTTGGTCACCAACCTGCATGGGCCCAGCCGGGTCACTTTGCCCAACTACCAAGCAGGTAAGGCCAGAGGTAGGTGGGATAGAACATCTGAGAACAGAGGCGTGTAAAATTTTTTTTACATTATTTATAGTACACCTTTCTGACTCAGACTCAAGGTGGATTATGTTGAGTGACTCAAATAGGTATTTGATAGTTCATATGTCGACAGCTGCAAGGATAGTATATGCCAAACATTGGAAAATAATGGAAATACCAACGAAACAAGAGTACGTGAACAAACTATGTGAAACGGCGGAAAATGACAAACTGACACTTGAGATGAGAGCTGGCGCAGAATGGACTTTTCAAAAAACTTGGAAGAGATTCTATGATTGGTATAATGTAAACGCAACTGATAGATAAATGTAGTAATTTGAGATCGCGGAAAAGATAAGCTTAGAAAAATAGATAATGAATTTAAAAATTTAATAAGCAGAAGAAGTGATAAAAGTCTCTTGTTATGTTATATGTTGTTGGGGGTAGTTGGGTGTTGTCTGTCTGTATGTTTGTAGTATATAATGTAAAAAAAACACAATAAAAGTGTACCCTCGGGTACTTAAGGAAAAAATATATAATTGACGGAACAGGACATTCAATAAACAACAGAATTGAATTAGGGTTGTAGCACCAAATCAGAAATCTAAAAACCAAACTGAAGTCAAGCGCATGAACCGTTAAAGGATGCAAAATTTACATAGCAGGATCCCGGTTTCAGCAAGCTGGACACAGTGATACAGAACGCAGTCCCCTAATAAATTATCCCGGTAATTTTGGCTAATTTCACACAAGTTGGATAATGCACTTTCAGTGTGCTTTAGCAATCCTCTGCAGCAGGATTTCCCTGTGCAAAACAGGAATATCTACTTGCAAACAAAGGCCCTTTCTGCACTCTCCTTTTAATCCATGTTCACAGTGGTGTCCTCCAAGCAATTCTGCACTAAAATCGAATCCAACCTGCTTTTTAAGCCAGCCCCCCCCCCCCCCCCATTCTGCATCACATTCCCTCCCTTCAGTGGTCAGCCTGGTTTCAGCCTGCTGTTGCCCCGGGTTATTTGGATGCGGTTTTGCCGTGAAATTACCTTGAGTCAAACACTGAGAAAATCCGGAGTGGTGGACAAATGTAGAAAGGACCAGTTGCTAAAGCGCATTGAAAGTGCATTATCCAATGTGTGTGAAATTAGTTTAGTACAGGGCAACTCTATTGCCTGTGTCGAAAAGCCTTCTCAAATAATTCAGGTTTGCATCGTTTGCAGAAAGGCAGGCGAGTGGGAGCCTTCCCGAATTCCTCAGGCAAGGCATCCCCCAAGGTGGGGGGGGGGCACAACAGAGAAGGTACCTACCTGTATGGGCCTTATCTATTCCCAAATCTCAGGTGTTCGTTCTTGTTTCCAACACTGAGCGTAAGTCATTCTAGCTGCTGTAATCAAGTACCATATCAATGTTCTCTTTGTTATATTCACTTCTTCCATTTTAAGACCCAAAAGTAATATTTCTGGTTCTTTCTTAAAAGTACATTTCAAATTTTTTTGCATCTCATTATAAACCTCCGTCCAAAAATTCACTGCTTTATCACAAGTCCACCACATATGGTAAAAAGAACCTTCTTTTTTTTACATTTCCAACACTTGTTAGACATATTATCACTCATATTTGCAATCTTTTTAGGTGTCATATACCATCTATACATCATTTTATAACAATTTTCTTTTAAATTATTACATGTTGAAATTTTCATTGAATTTTTCCATAAACATTTCCAAGATGACATAGATATTTCTTTATTCATGTTAATTGCCCGTTTTATCATTTGCTCCTTAACCATTTCATCTTCTGTATACCATTTTAAAAATACCTTATACATTTTAGATATTATTTTTTTACCTTTTTCCAACCACATTCTATTTCGTTATATTTTCCCCTAAACCCAAACTCTTTTTTGTCCGTTTTATATAAGGCATATATCTGTCTATAATTTAACCAATCGTATTCAAAATCTATTTCGTCTCTGTCTTTTATGTCAAAGGTTTTCCCCTCTATTTAGAAAATGTCTCTATACAATACACTTTCAATGTACTTTTAAACGGGATTTTGCCAGTTCACACAGGGTGTGGTCACACAGGCGAGATAAACCGGGGGGGGGCTATTTCCCCCAGAGGAATTTGACCCACAGTTGCACAATCACACAGTCCTTTGAAGCTGCAGGGGCAGCCCGCCACTGCGTGATCAGACGCGACCGTGGGTGAGACGGGTTTGGGGTTTGTTTTTTGTTCCGTTTGTTTCCAATTCGCTTAAATGGGGAATCAATGAATCGCACTGCTGCACTGAGGACTCCCTATGGAGTGTGTGATGATGCACATACTGAGAGGGGCGGGGGCGGGGGAAACAATGGCACAGAGTTGGGATGGCCTGGTCACGCGGCTAATTTTGCGTGTGATTGCGACCACAGTAAAACCTAGTTTGAAAGGGCATTAAAAGTGGATGGAAACTGTGAGTGGTGTGTGTGATGACAGCCATCGGTCCTTTCCGCACTCGGATCTCATCGTTGGTTTTATCAGAGCTCAACTCGCAATGGTATACCTTGCATTTATCCCTGGTAACAACAGCATCCATTTATCCTGGGACAAATGTGGGGTGAAACTGGGGTGACCTCCACGTAATGTGGAAACAAAAAATACCCTGAGATAATTAGAGGGGTGAACTCGAGTGTAGTGTAGAATGTGAGTTCGGGGACAGGGTTGAACCAGGATTTAGGGTCTAGTGCAGAATCACCCATAGATAGGCCTCTGTACCGGTTGCCGGCAGGCCTGCAGCTAAAGAGCACGGCCATGTCTATCTCCGATCTGATCCCCACTCGGCCATGGGAACTTGCTGGGTGGCCACGGGCCAGCCACCTACTCTCAGCCTGACCTAGCCCGCAGGGCTGTTGTGAGGACAGAATGGAGGAGAGGAGTCGAATGCAGGTGGCTCGGGAATTCCCACTGGGGAGAATAGGTGTTGGGATTCTTTGATTCAGGGTCGATGGTTGTATTGCAAACACAAGAGCCACATTAGTAAAAGAAAAAATATCTTTTACTACAAATCAAAACAAAGCATGGGTATGGTACTTTGGATAAAAGAAATAAAATAAAAAGGTTACATACTTGCAGTTACTTTCAGTACTATATGCTAACAGCTACATCTTTCTAACTGTCTTGGCTTCTAGAAGAGAACTTCCTCTTTGGTTCACACAAAGAGCCATAAACCTTGTGAATACATTAATGCTAGATCAAAGCATTTCACTTCATTAGGATAAACAACTCCCACAAACTTTCCCTCCGTAGAATACATTATGTAACGTAACATCCTTTTTCCTAACAAACAACACTTAACTCTGTAATGACTGAAGTGTAAGCAACTTGAAACTCCAACAATAGGGTGGTGTAAATATCTAAACGAACGAATGGATAAAAGGCTTCTAAATGACATACAAGAAAACAAAACGAGCACCATCCCGTAAAAACTGTCTATCATAAAATTTCCTAAGGTTGCTGTGTTGGCCTGCAGTGGAAGAGCTAGATTCGAGTCCAGCAGCACCTTAGAGACCAACATAATTTGAGGGGTTATAAACTTTTGAGAGTCCAAGCTCCCTTCATCCTTCATCTCCCTTGGAGAGTCAAAGCTCCCTTCATCCCTTGAGAGCCAGCGTGGTGGAGTCATTAAGAGCAGTGGCCTCTAATCTGGAGAGCCAGGTTTGATTCCCCAGTCTTCCACATGAAGCTTGCTGGGTGACCTTGGGCCAGTCACAGTTCTCTCAGAACTGTCTCTGCCCCCCTACCCAACAAGGTGCCTGTTTGTGGGGGAGGAAAATGGGGTATAAAAACCTCATCATCAGTTTGGTGTAGTGGTTAAGTGTGCTGACTCTAATCTGGGAGAACCGGGTTTGATTCCCCACTTTTACTGGATGACGTGGGGCACGCCATAGTTCTGTCAGAGCTGTCCTTGAAAGAGCAGTTTCTGTCGGAGCTCGCTCAGCCCCGCCTACCTCACAGGGTGTCTGATGTGGGGAGGGAAAGGGAAAGGAGTTTGTAAGCCGCTCTAAGACTCCAAGTGAAGGGCGGGGTATAAATCCAATCTCTTCTTCTTCTTCTTCTTCTTCATCTATCAAAATTGTTGATCATAACAATCAGATGTTGCAGTATCCAAAAAAGAGCCCCACAGAACACTGAAACCTACAGTCTAAATAAAAACGCACCATCTTCCTCAAGCGAGGCTGCCAACCTTTTCACCAGCCTCTACTCCTGTGCCTTTAACAGCTCCTCAAAGCAACTTTTCAGGCCGCAGAGATAAGCTTCTTTTAGCTGGTAATTATGAAGGCCCCACTGCTCTCAAAGGGACAGGAACACACCAGGCCATTTCCGGGTCAGTTGGCAACACCATTAGGCAGAGTTGTTCACCTTTTAAAGCAGGGGTGTCAAACACAAGGCCCGGGGGCCAGAACTGGCCCATCCAAGTCTTTTATGTGGCCCGCGAGCAACTAGTGCAAGGGAAGGGAGACTGCTGAGGGGGGATTGTGGCTTCAGCATGGTGGAACAACCTCGTCTGCAGCAGTCGAGCAGCGTGGGAGCATCTCCCCAGTGCTGCGCCACTGGCTGTCCAGTCCACCCGTATGGGTTTTCCTTTGCGCTCCCCTTCCAGCCCATGAAGCCTTGAAGTGAGGATGCACCAACTTGGAGCTTACCAGCAGCTGTCCTTTATACACTTTATATCTCTGGTACCTGGCATTACGTTTTATGGCACACATGGCCTGGCCCAGCAAAGTGACATTAATGTCAGATCCAGCCAGTATAACAAATGAGTTCGACACCTCTGTTTCAAAGCAAATGTGACACCTGTCCCTCTAACACTCTCTCTCCCTCTCTCTTGCAGGGCACTCCATGCTGCTGCTCATAGCATGCGGGGTCGCCGCTGCGGGCCTCCTCCTCTTTACCCTGCTGGGGATTGTGATCTTCAAAGTGATAAAGAACAGGTGAGAAAGTCACTGCTGAGCAAATCCATACCAAGTCTAGTTCCCACTGGATCAGGGCTCCCAAGTACTTACCTTGATTCGGTGGAGGATATATAGTTCTTCGCGGGACCATTCCTGCAGGGAAAACACAGGTGCTGCACTGTTCCATCGCCCAGACATGATATAGGCACGTAGTCAGGCGACGCTCTAGCAATGAGGCTGGAAACTCCATGGTACCATCGAGTTTCCAGTCCCATTACCAGAACGTTCCCCAGCTACGTGCCTATGTGACTTCTGGGCAACGGAATAGTGCAGCGCCTGTGTTACAAGCAAGAATCTTCCGGCGGGGCATGTGTCCCTCGCTGGTTCGTAGGTAGGTACTTGGCAACCCTACACTGGATGCTGTTTTCTTTCTTTCTTTGTTTGTTACCTATAAGGCAGGTTAGCACAGGCCAAGCTGCAAAGCAGGAAGCTCTGGGTTCAGATTTTATTCCCGCCAGGAACTCATCACCTGGCCTTAGGCAAGACACTTTTTCTCAGCCTTGCCCCCTCCTGATATAATATAGGAATACTCAGGGCTATTTTTGGGCAGGAACGCACAGGAACGGAGTTCCGGCTGGCTTCCAAGCCCAGGGGGTGGGCACATGCAGCAAGCCCCACCCCCTGCTCCCAGCAGCCCTCAGTCAAGCCACGAGGAGCAAGAAGCAGGGAGGCACGTTGCAGAGCCCCCCCCCGTCTTTCCCGGCCCCTGCCATTCCCGGGGTGTTGCCTAATATGCCAATGAGCTGTGCTGTCAGGGGTGTGGCCTAATATGCTAATGGGTTTCTGTTGTTGGGTGTGGCCTATTATGCTAATGAGTTCCTGCTGGCCTTTTTCTACAAAAACAGCCCTGGGAATACTGACCTACTTTCCAGGGTTGCTGCAGCCTGTAAATGACCCCCAACATGGTGCCCATGGTACCTGCTGAGGTGTTTCCTCCCACCAAAAAAGGGACAGGAACACACCAGGCCAAGGGCTAGGGCCTTCTCAGTGGCGGCCCCCACCTGGTGGAATGAGCTCCCAGAGGAGATCCGGGCCCTGCGGGACCTGGTGCAGTTCTGCAGGGCCTGCAAGACGGAGCTCTTCCACCAGGCTTTTGGTTAGGGGCCGCCACTGCCCCCCCCAGCTATATACCATCTTGGGGGGGGGGTTAGGGGTTAGGGCTTAGGAGGCCGGGTAGAATCATTGTTAACATCTATTATCAATGCCTACTGGGAATGTTTGGGTTGTGGTCGCCCTCTCTGGGTTTTTGAGATTCTGGAATGATTGTGGTTATTGAGCACTTTAATTGTTTTATTGGTTTTAAATTGTATATGTTGTTTTTAAC